GGCCAGTCGGGAAGAGGGGAGAGGAGTAGGTCAGCACAGGAGCGAGTCCTGGAAGGACGAGGAGGCACATGGACTCAGAGAGAGAGCAAGATCTGGCTGAGGAAAGATGATGCAAGAAGGGCAGCTAGCTGTCGTACGAGAACTCGTGTCGCCTCGCTGAGGACTCACCGGGAGGGTGGCCAGCTGGGCGACGTACTCGTTTTCCACCATCACTCACATGCGCACTCCACCATCACTCTGCGGCTCCAAGGGCGGCTTAGGAAGACGCCCTGCCGAAGGGAATATGGTCGGAAGGACCAAGGATCGTGCCGAAGCAACAGATCTCAAGAGAATGACTCAAGTCATATCGGAAGCGAACGATAACAATCATCACGAAACGCAACGGGCACTAACTCGTTTGGCCAACTTCTCTATCTCCCGTCTTACGCCCCCAGGCCCACGCATGCGTGCACTGCAGCCTTATCTAGCGCTCTTCTTCATCAGCAGCCCTCTATCTTTCCTGGCTGCCTCCCCTGTGCCCATCTACGGCTTGTCGTCCTGCCTGCCTACACACGGCTACCATCCTTCAGCCTGTCATCCATCAGCATCAGCATCAGCTCCATCGATCCATTCATCCAGGGCTGCATCCTCTCCATCAGCACACGGTCCACGGCATCCAATCCATCCGTCCATCACATCCAGACACATACGTCCACACTTCCAGTCATCTGAGCCGAGCGCCTTCATCAGGGCCACAGACAGGGGCGAAGGGCATCGTGAGCACTTCGCAACACCGCCTGCTTGGCAGTGGGGGCAGTTGCAGCCGCCTGCTTGGCAGTGGGGGCAGTTGCAGTCGCCTGCTTGGCAGTGGGGGCAGTTGCACCCTCCTGCACACACATGGACAGTGGGCCGAGCGTGTGCATGTGCAGACCACAGACTCTCTCTTTCTCCTGCTGACCGTCACAGCCCCTGCCGCTGCAGTGAGGGCAGTTGCAGCCGCCTGCTTGGCAGTGGGGGCAGTCGCAGCCGCCTGCTTGGCAGTGGGGGCAGTTGCAGCCGCCTGCTTGGCAGTGAGGGCAGTTGCACCCTGCACCAGACCAAGCGTGTGCATGTAGATCGATGAGATCGATGTCATGTGTGGATCGAAGTCTGTCTCTCTACTGACCGTCATGGTGGCCACAATTGCAGCCTTTGGGATTGCAGCTTTGGAGATTGCAGCCTTGGAGATTACAGCCTTGGAGATTGCAGCCTTGGAGATTGCAGCCCCCGTGATGACACTGGCACCCTTCCTCCTCCCCGGTCACTGCACACACATGGACAGCTGGCAAGTTTGGTGTGTGCTGATCACCTCTCTCTCTCTCTCTCTCTCTCTCTCTCTCACACACACACACACACACACTGACCGTTGTGGTGGCAGGAGCATCCTTTTTCGCCTCTCTTGCACTGGCATCCTTTCTCGTTGCCGGCCTCGGTCAAGTCAGAGGGCGTCTCTGCACACACATATGGAGATCGATCTCTATCTCTGTCTCTGTCTCTCCCTCTCTCTCTCACACTGACCGTCGTGGTGGCACTTGCAGCCCCCACTAGACCCCTTCCCGCCCCCTTCCTCATCATCGATGTCCTCCGGCACATTCAGCTTGGAGTCCTCAATGGCCAGCGGCGCCCCGATTGGCACTATGCTGCTGTCGGAAGGGGTGATGGCGTGCTTCTTAATCAGCCTCCTCAGCTCCTTTTCGTCCGCTCCCCTTGACCTCGGCAAGCTTCTTGCCGCCTTTGATGAGATGGAATGTCGGCAGCATGTCGGTTGGCCTCTCGTTGAATGCCAGGTTGTCCACATCAACCTTGCCGAATGTGACTGCGGGGTACTCGTGGCTGAGGGATTCGAGCTTCGGCGCTATTCGATCGCAGGCAACGCACCAGGAGGCCATGAAATCGATGACGAGGAGGACTGATGGCGGCGTATCTCTCTTGATGGCCTCCAGAGTAGGTCCATCGGCGATGTGGATGATCTCGTTCTCCTTGCCGACCTCGGTTAAGCCAGAGGGCGTCACTGCACACACATGGACAGCTGGCAAGTGTGCGTGTGTAGATCGATCTCTATCTCGGTCTCTCTCTCACACTGACCGTCGTGGTGGTGGTGGTGGTGGTGGCAGCTGCAGCCTTTCTCGCCTGTCTTGCACTGGCACCCTTTCTCCTTGCCGGGCTCGGTCAAGTCAGAGGGCGTCTCTGCACAGACATGGACAGCTGCAAGTGTGTGCGTGTGTAGATCGATCTATGTCTCTGTCTCTCCCTCTCTCTCGCACTGACCGTCGTGGTGGCACTTGCAGCCCCCGCAGCTGCAGCCTTGGCAGGTGCAGCCCCCACCAGACCCTTCCCCGCCCCCTTCCTGCTCGCCGGTCACTGCACACACATGGACAGCTGGCAAATGTGTGCATGTGCAGACCTTCTCTTTCTCTTGCTGACCGTCATGCTTGAAAAGCACAGTCTTGACGTACCACACACACACACACACACACACAGAGAGAGATAGAGAGAGAGAGAGAGAGAACGAAGCAGCAGTCCAGACTCCGTACAGAAGGTGTGTGTTTCATTAGTCAGTGCTCACGTCTGTGTCGATGTAGACCTTGCCGCCCTGACAGATACGCATATATAGAAAAAGCGACAGAGAGAGAGACACAAGAATGTATCGGAAGTGGTGCGTGAGCATCAGGCGGGAGACGCTGACCGGCGCGAGGAGCGAGTGAATGTTCTGCCAAAATGGGGTTTTGAGCTTCAAGGCCGGCAGCCACTGGCTGATATTTTTGTCTGTCGATGGCGGGGTATCCGCGGTGTCCCAGTAGATGGGAAAAAGGGCACGACAAGAGCACGATGTGATGGAAGTGGTGGAGCGGAAGTCCTAGATTCTTGTGGGCAGAATCGACCTGCAAGGAATGCATGCATGAGGGGATAGCAATAGCTGCAGGAGTCTCTCACCTACCTGTGCAGTGTTTTCCATGTCGAGCTGCCAAAAAGGCGGCACAGGAACGTAGGCGAGGAGAGACCACGCATCAGAATTCTTGTTATCGTTGACGATGCCGTGGTCAGGGATCTCAAACTGGACCATGCCCTCCTTCTTCGAGTATCCGCTGAGCTTGCGCGGCACCCCTTCCTTGGATTGCCAATCCATGAGCGTAACGCCCCCCATTTATGTCTTCCACCTGCACAGGTAGGCAACACAAGTCGTGCACGTGAGCGCACATGACATCCGCAGCAGCCGGCACTGGACAGACCATTCTAGGGGGGGACGCTCTCCGGGAGTGCTGTTCGGCTGGCCTAGGCCATGAATCACGAAGTCCGGCCTTCCGAAGATGGGCGAATGACATGCTTGACATCAAAAGCATTGATTGCAAAGTGTGCTTTAAATTTGTGTGCGCTCTTGACTGCATTTCATGATATACCCAGCAGAGTATTCGGGACGTGCTTCCTCTCAAGTCGAAGGAAGGAGTTGTCGACGTCAGCTTGACCGATGGAGGAATTGTGGCGCGAGCCCCAAGACCAGCCCAGAGTCACTGGGAGGTAGCTCAGCAGTGTCAGCAGATGGAAATATGCCAACATTGCAATGCCGTGACGGGGCGACATCATGCTGCTTGCCCCGGTGGTCGTTGATTTTGCCGACGACGAGGTGCGCCCGATGTCAGCGGCTTAGAACTTAGTTAGAACTACGGTGTCAAAGAGGAGACGCTCCCAGCCAGCTTGGGAGAGAGCGGTTTCATACGATGCCCTAGTCCCACTTACGGCCAACACGCGTAGATCGAGACGCCCCCACTCGCATGCACATCTTGCCGCCTTCCGTGTGTCATATTTGTCGGCCCCCTTCTCGTGCGTGGCTCCCGAATACGTCCTGCCTAGATTAATACGCCCCAGCTGCTCCCATGGCGCCTATTGCCATCCTGGCGGCCATCTTGTTCTGCAATGTCGCAGCCTCAAATGTGGAAGAGATGGCGGCGGGACACGAGGCCCATGTCACCAACAACAAGTCCACGTGCCCTCACAGCTTCGTCGAGGACACGCAGACGCTCGCCAAGGCCAAGCATCCCACCTCCAAGGAGAGTGACGTGGTGTCCGACGAGGTCCAGGGGGCAGTGATCGGCGGGATCATCGGTGGCAAGAATGGTTCGGCTGGCGCGGTGGGAGGAGCGATGCACGGCACTGGAGGAGCGATGTATGGCGGACTGATGGGTTCCAGCGGCACTGCCACTTCTGCGGCTCCTCTCTCCCGCTACGACCTGGTTGTGATAGGCGGTGGATCTGGAGGCATGGCCGCGGCAAAGGAGGCTGCCAAGCTTGGGAAGAGAGTGGCACTCTTTGACTACGTCAAGGAAGGTGAGTGAGTGAGTGAGTGAGTGAGCCCGCACCACCATGGAGATATACAACGACTGATTGTCATATCACTGCCTGAGCGTTGTATCTCTGTGTGTGTGCGTGTGTGATGCAGCCATCGCCACAAGGGACGACATGGGGGATAGGCGGGACGTGCCTCAATGTAGGGTGCATCCCCAGGAAGCTCATGCACTACGCAGCGCTCATCGGAGCATCATTTTACGTATGCCAGTCAGCACACGAAGACAAGCACCACTGCCACTACTGTTGCTCTACTGCTGCCTTTCTCTGACGTTTGTCACACATCAATCAGGACGCCCGTCTCCTGGGTTGGCAGCTGCCTGATGTGCGTGGCCAGGGGCACAGCGGCATTGCGCATGACTGGGGACAGCTGGTGAAGTTCGTCCGAAACAAAGTAAGGCAGCTGCGCTTCTCGTACGGTAATGCCCTCAGATCGTACGGTAATTCCCTCACGGTGAGTGGCGCACACACACATTCACCACGCACCCACTGGTGTGATTGACTGCTCATTCTGCGCAGTATGTGAATGCGCTTGCCCGTTTCTGCGCAGTATGTGAATGCGCTTGCCCGTTTTGAGTCGGCTGGTGTGATCGAGTACGAGAATCCCTCAAGCGGCGAGACGCAGAAGCTCACCGCAGACAAGGTCCTTATCGCTGTCGGTGGCAGACCTAACATACCGGAGGTGCATACAGAGTCTGCTTGAGGGACGGAGGATGAACGTGTCTGTCTGTCCAGGACATCCCTGGTGCAGTGGAGCACGACATCACTTCAGACGACATTTTCACCCTGGATCGACCGCCGGGCCGCACACTCGTGGTGGGAGCCGGGTACATCGCTCTCGAGACAGCGGGATTCCTCAACGAAATCAACGTAAGCAACACAGATAGACGACCAGATGCGAAGGCGAACAAAGGGGTGTGTGTGGTTGCAGTTTGATGTGAGCGTGGCCGTGCGGTCGGTTGTCCTCCGTGGGTTTGATCGGCAGTGCGCAGAGAAAATAGCTCAGCTCATGGCCGAGGTGGGAGTGCGGTTCATGTACTCAGTCACCGTTGGCAGCATCACCAAAAAGTGAGCAACCAACGCACACAGTAATTGTGGGTGTTCCTACGGACGGTGTGTATGCGTCCCTGTCAGGCAACCAGATGAGAGCGGGCTGCCGTCCTTGGAAGTTGAACTGAGAAGCCGTGATGGCAATATCGTGACGGAGGTATGCTCCTGCTGAGCCTGACGTGCTGCGCGTACGATAGACATTCTCTTTCCCTCTCCGCCTTTCAGGTGTACAACACTGTCCTCTTCGCCACCGGCAGGACGCCCGAAACAGCCAGTCTTGGTAGGTTACCTACCCCAGATCCTTTCCTCCCTCGTTCATCGATTTGTCGATTAGGTCTGGACGCTGTTGGTGTGAAATATGACGCCCAGACGAGCAAAATAGCCGTCAACGATGTGGAGCAGACCAGCGTTCCGAACGTCTATGCCGTGGGCGACTGCATCCCGCAGCTAGAACTCACACCGGTGGCCGTCAGGGCTGGCGAAGTGTTGGCAAGGTAAGGGCACGAGAGACACAGACAGGAGGATGGTAGTGTGGCCTCTATCGTTCACGTGTCAGGCGGCTGTATGGGGGGTCGACGGAGAAGATGGACTATGAGATGGTGCCCACAACCGTCTTCACGTGAGAGACTCATCCAGGCTGACAGACGGAGAGGCAGCACGTTCCTTTCTGTGTCTAGGCCTTTCGAGTACGGTTCCGTTGGCCTCTCAGAGGAACAAGCCGTGAAAAAATACGGCAAGGACGCAATCGAAACGTTCCTGCTAGAGGTAGAGACCGCCCACACAGATCCGCCAGCCCTGTCTCGTCTCGCTCACTCATCTGCCCCCTTGCTCACTCACTTTGAGGACCTTGAGCTGTCAGGGGTGCACCGCCCAAAAGTCGCCACGGCCCGCTCAGACGGGTTCGACATCTTCCTATCGGCCAGCAACCTCTCCAAGCTCGTCTGCCTCAGAAACGAGAACAACAGAGTGGTGGGCTTCCACTACGTCGGGCGCAATGCGGGCGAGGTGACGCAGGGATTCGCCCTGGCGCTGCGGCTGGGGGCGACCAAGAGTGACTTTGACAGGATGCTCGGCATACAGCCCACTGATGCAGAGTCGTTTTCTGGCCTGACGGTGACGCGCAGGTCGGGGGAGAGCTTTGTGGCGGCTGGGGGGTGTGGTGGGGGGAGATGTGGGTGATGAGACAGACAAGTGGTACTGCACGATGCTTCCGTAGCAGCTCGAACTGCACGCGGGACCTGACGGCACGGTGAAAAGACGGGATGCAAGGTGACTGTCGCGTGAAGAAGTAGTACTAGTAGTAGTCGCCTGGCTTGTGCGTCCCTCCCGGAGAGCCACCCCTTCTCAATGTGCTACCTCGCGTCAGCAACTGAGACAGCCATGACACACACACACACACACACACACACACAGAGAGAGAGAGAGAGAGACAACGACGGCAGTGCGGCGGTAGTGTCGTCCTTCGATGGGCACGATGTGGTTGGTCGCGGACAGTCAGTACAGCCACTCACCAGCCCATGCCGTCAATGGTGAAGGAGTGATACTGTGTGTGAGCTCCAGACACGCATGCAAACTGCTGTCATTGTCATTTCATAGTGGCTGACTGACCGGTCCATGGAAGAACTGCATGACCGACCGCCGCACACAAACAGTGCACAAATTGATCTTCCCAGCCGCTTCTAATTGTGTGTCTCTGTGCTGTGTGTCCTTTTCAGGCGTACGTTACTTAGGGAAGGAGAGAAAGAGATTGCTTCAGTGTATCTGTCTATGAATGCATGTGATGACACGACAATTTAGGGCATGTATGGGTGGGTGCGTGTCATATTTGTGGGTGTGCATAATGTGGGGGAGATGTTGTACCTCTGTAGGTAGGGTGGTAGGTAGGCAGGTAAGCAGGTCGTTGCATGGGCGAAGGGTCATACCCGATGAGTCATACCCGATGAGTCAGCTGACGTGGAATCGGATTCAGTCAGATCCAGGGTCCATCCATGTCTGACAGGCAAATTCGATTCATGCATGCGTCCCGACTGAGAAACCCGTGACATAGGGAAAACTGCACCCAAGACGACAAAAAACGGGGAAAAACAGGCCCAACCAGTCAGTGTGCAACTGCCTCGATCGATGCACTATACATAAAGTCCTCTCGCCACAAACACACACATGCCCACCCCTCCCTGTCTGTCGCATGATCTCGTGCTAGCGAAACGCCTATCTAAGGAATCAGACCACCTACAGACATACAAAATCCTCTCACGACGCACAGCTGCCTGAGGATGTAATGCACGCACACCCGACTCCCAAACAACACCACCATGCAGTCTTTTCCTGTTCATTCAGGCGCGATCTTTCTTGACGCGAGGTCCCGTCCAGAGGACCACCCAGGGCAGCGCCACCAGTGTCCACACCATCGTCCTGGCGAAACGCGCAAAATCGTGGTCGTCCACCTCGACACTCGCCAGCCGTATGAGCAGATCCGACACGCTCAAACTGCACGCGCGCGCGCGGAGAGAGAAACAGAGGCATAGAACATCCTTTCTTATGCAGCCAGGGCAGTTCCGTGGGAAACGATCTGCTCACTCATTGCTCCAGATGTCGATGGCGTGCGAGTACTGGGCCAGCACAGGCACGACGTTGTCCAGGAACTTGGCCTGCATCATGCCAATGGTCCACCCGAGCGCCCAGGCAACGCCCTGCTTGTTGGCCTGGACGTAGGCATTGATCATGAGCGCCAACGTCCCGCCCAAGCACGCCGCAACCGCATCCCGCGATGTCAGGCCGATGGCAGTCATTCCGACGGCAGTCAGTGGCCGCATTCTCTGTCGGTGCAGTGCATGTGAAGACGCGTGTGTCAGAGGTGCGTGGGCGGGCCGGATGAAGGCGCCACGCGTCAGCAGGGGCGACAGGAGAGATACAAGCAGAAGGCGGAAGCTGCAAACACCAGCACGCGCTTGCGAGTAGACATTGACTGTATGCCAGTGGTTTCTCACCTCAACGCCACCATACTGTCTGAGCCTCGGGATCTTGCTGCAAGCCGTTCAAAGATGCGCGCACGCAGTGTGGCCGACGACGAGGTGTGCCCGAGTCGGAGGCTTCATACATAATACATTGGAGGACCCCATCAATCCGAAAAGGTACCGTTAAACGCAAAGTGCTTTGCTTTTCAGGAGTGGGTGCATTCCACTCTTTTTCTTGAACAGTGATGAGGTGGACTCTCTTTTGCTCCGTGGGGCATCAGATCAACGAATCTGATGAAAGATCTCGTTTGCGCTTGGTCAGGACAACGACAGCAGTTGGGTGTCTGCCGAGGAGCGCAGGAGGTGCCCGTGGAGAAGCAGTGGGAGGCCGACCGGCCTGCCCTGCAGAGCCTGGGCATCTTCCCCGAGGGCATGCGGACCCCATATTCGGGCTCGGTATGTGCCGATCAGACAAAGGAAAGCCGTTGCCGTATACAACACCCCCACCCATTGGTCTCGTGTGTGTGCGGGCGTGCCTGTAGGCGTGGCCGTTGCGATTGCCATCCACAACATCCTCGAGGGCATCGCCGTGAGTGTCCCGATCTTCTACGCCACAGGCAGCAAATGCAAGGCATTCTGTAAGCAACTTACTTGTGCACACAGACGACAGGGAGACGGAGGAATGCATGCGCGTCTGTGTATGTGTATGTGTATGTGTGTGTGTCCTCTAGGGTGGTCTGTGCTGTGTGGCGCTGCGGAGCCGGTTGGCGGTTTGTTGGCGTGGGTCGTACTCACAAACCTGATGGTGAGTGACACCCACCACCGCAAACACAATCACAAAGCCCCACACGCCCCATCATGTCGCCATTCTCTTCGGCCTCGTGGGCGGCATCATGGTCCACATCTGCAGCAAGAAACTCATCGCGACCGCCCTGCGATACGACCCACACGTACGCACACACACACACACATACACTTGCGAATGCAGCGGACACAGCCCCAACTGGGGCGGGGAGACGGGAAGAGACAGACAGGCCAAGTGCGTGAGAAACTAGCCACACATGTGGGGGTGTGCTTATGTGATTGTGTCAGGACTACCTATCCTCTGACATCGTGTTGGTGGGCATGGCTGTGATGGCGCTCAGTCTGGTTCTCCTGGCCTTCTATGGCTGAGGAGAGGGGCACATCCAGGCCCCCCGCCATACAGTATTGTTATCTTTTTCGATTCATGTACGTCCAGATGGCTGACACGGGCCGGCGTGGCGCACACCTCTCTATGTGTCCGCCTGCCCGCCCCCTTCACGACGGCTCTAAGACTTTTATCGGTGGCGAGATGATGAGGCATTCATTCTTGGGCCCGCCCTGCACCTTTCTCCTTGTGACCTTCGTGGGTGCGGATGAATGGGGGCGGTATTCATTCGTGTGGGTGTTTGTGTTGGTGTTTGTTGTGTTGTGCTTCGCTGCTGCACATGACTGACGCAACACAGAGATAGATGAGACAGGCAGACGCATCAAGACTAGACGAACCGGTGGCAAGGGCAGCGGAACAGAAAGACGGCGATGAGCGTGTTGCATGCTGTGGCGGGGGGCATCTGTGTAGAAAGCTCAATGTGTGGTGTGGACTAACCACCTCTCTCCCTGTCCCTCCCCTTTACTCTTTTTTTTTCTCTCTACGTCTCTCTCTCTCTCTCTCTCTCTCTGTGTGTGTGTGTGTGTGTGTGCATGCGGTGTTGTTGTGCTGTGGGTATGCCCTCCCCTCCCTTATCGTGGCTTTCTGGGGTAGGATGTGCCGCCTGGTGTGACGCGCCTCCATCGTCCCCTCTTTGAGATACAGAGGCTACTGGACTCGGGCGGGCAAATCGGCGGAAGTCTGTGGACTGCCTTGCCATCCACACCACATGCCTCTGTCTGTGCGCGATGTGTTGTGCTTCTTTGCTTCGTTGCTCCGTGCTGTGTTGTGTTGTGTGTCCTTCATTGATGCCTACGTGTGTGCGGCTGTGTGCTTGGCGTGCATGGCACGAGTGTCCGTGGATTTTCAGACGTCCTCTTGACGGACGGAAGCGCCGCGACACCGAGCATGGGTGCCACTCGTGTGTGCGTGTGCATGGGTGATGATTTCCATCGCTAGTTAGGCGAGATATGACGTGGTGTGTAATGTGTGTGCGTGTAAGTCTTTCTACATGTAAGTGTATTTGTATCTATCGGTGGATGATGGCTGACTGTCTTCCATAGCTGCTTTGGTGTCCGTAGTCGGTCGGTATGGGTGTAAGAGATGTCCGTCGATTAAGGTGATAAATGGCCCGACAGGGTCTTGGAGGGAGCGAGGTGAGTCGCTGGGGGATACATTTCGATTTTCCATCGCCCTGAGACGGCGAGAAGATGCACATTTTTCCGAATGCGCACATACCGCCTTGCGATCACATGGCGGCGGCAATATATATATTATGAGCTGCCTGCCACTCATTTGACTGAGCTGCTGGAGCCCACTTCGTTCGTTATATCAGAGGACGGACAATCCTCATCGTCTCCCTCGTCCGACCTCTCTGCTGGCTGTCTCTGTATCGGTGCACACATGAATGGCCATGACATTGATGGTACGTACATGCGCGCAGGGCTCTTACACGTCTTGTCTGTCTGTCTGTCTGTCTGTATGGCCGCTCGAATGGCTAGTTCGTGAGTGATGCATGGGTGGCGGTGGCCCACTTTCAGACAGATGGGTCGTCGGGCTGGCATTCATCTTTGTCTGCGGATGTGCCGGTGAGCCGCTCACTTTTTTGAAGGCCCGGTTCGTGTGTGTGGGACTAGGTGTGCCGACACGTCGGCTGAGATTGGTTTTTCCGCGGTGGGTTCGGCCAGTGCCTATAGGCACGATGTGATTCCTGATATTGCGTGTGCATGGTGTGGGCATGTCAGTCAGCAGATGACATCACGACTCGGATGGATTATATATCAACTGTCGCGTGGATTGTCGGCCGCAGGTGACATACACGATCAGGCAGGCCCATCGAAAACCATATGACATTCCACCCCGCACAGCACCACACTGCTCATCAATCGTGCAGTCGGCCGGCGCTTCAGGCTTAAGAGCAAAAGTGGATCTAAAATCGACTTTCACCAGCGCAAAATAAAGCTCTTGTGCTCCTCTCACAGTTTCACTCACATTTCTTCACATGGCCATCTCCGGCCTTGTGGGGGGGGTTAAGGGTTTTGGATGGACAGGATGGGTATGTGGAGTGGACAGGGATTTAAGTAAGGTTTGACCGAATACTGTAATTAAGCATTGGTTGGTTTACTTGTACTAAATATTGTTTGTCACACGCACAGCACACTCGGGGATGCACATACATGAGTGAGTCAGCGCAGCAGCACCAGCAGCAGCATTACCTGGTGCGTCGGAGTCTCCGTGATCTGACGACATCGGCGACGGAAATGTATGGAGAAGCGGTCGCACATCTATACACACCTCACGCACTACAAACACAGGGGATCACGGGTCTAAACCCAAAACCCTAAGTGCGGTGAAGGGTTTAGGGTTTAGACCCAACCCGACAACCCTAACCCTACACGCAGATGTTTGATTTTCTGCAGGAGTGTCGGGAGGTTTTTGGGATTTGTGCGCTTTGGATTCCGACTGGAATCAATCCAAATTCCAAAGTCGCAGGGCTTCGGGAGGTGTGTGGTGAGTGGGGTTTTGCTGGGTTCAGGCAACCACACCCGACAACCCTAACCCTAAACCCAGAGGTTGGTTTTTGCGAGGGAAGTGCACGCAGACGCCTGAGTTGACCATCGTCCATTGGATCCAGGAATGCATCTATGCAGTCAGTCAGTCAGTACACATGCACCAAACAGTCAAACAGACAGACAGACGGGCACAAACGCACTGCACGCATACGGCAAGACAGGCAGGCAGGCAAACAGCAAATCGCCACATGCATCGCCAGTAGGTCAACATGCACGCACCGAACAGACATACACATACACTGTAGCGAGACAGGCATAGCGAGACAATTGCGCCCCTCTGTATGACACACCCTCACAGGCAGGCAGGCAGACACCGCACTGTCACGGCATAGAGGCACACATCTTCAAGGCACTCGCTTGGTACGTACGTGCGACAAAAGCGACAAACGCATGCTAGAAAAAACACAGACAGACAGACAGACAGACAGACAGACACACACACAGACAGACAGACAGACACACACACAGACACACAGAGACACAGACAGACACACAGACAGACACACAGACAGACACACCCACACACAGACACACAGGCCGTGTGGTCGTTCTTCGCTCACTAATGCGCGCAAGCACTGCCCCGCCCCCTTACGTATGAAACGCTGCATGCCCCAGAACGCCACCCCACCAGCGCCGACTGCTAGAAAACATCGATGAAACAGCACCGATAGACCTATGCTGAACGCCAAGAAGAAGTGCACCATGAACGTTGTGGAGAACTGTCTGGTACAAGACGATTCAGACAGACCGGAAAAAACAGCATATCCCCTCAAGATGAGGAGCCAGAAATGAGGGCTGCCAGCGACGAAGCATGCGCAAAAAAGCCATGGAAGTAGACATCTTTGCTCCGAACATGCAGACACACACGCATGCACCGACAGGCAACGCAACACATGCAAGAGACCCACCCAAGGATTGCAGCACGCGAACGCTCACAACAGCGTTTGGGAGACCCCCTCACTGAGTCGATCACACAGACACAAGCTCACTCCTGAACCGACAGATCGACTGACTCACTCCTCTCTGTGGTGCTGCAAAAATCGGTGAGTGTAACACGTAGCTCCTCAAAAATCGATGATGTAACCTCGCGATGAGGAGGGAGGTGGCATCAATTGTGGCCAACAATTCAGCCACTCGCTGGATGCCCTCGGGCTAGAAAAAC